TTTTGACCATTTAGTATGATGTTGGCTGTTGATTTTTCATAAATAGCCTTAATCAGGTTGAGATAAAGACCTTCTATTCCAATTTTCTGTAGGGTTTTATCATGAATGGGTGTTGGATTTTGTCAAATGCTTTTTCTGCATCTATTGAGATGATCTAATGGTTTTTGTCCTTGGCTCTGTTAATATGGTGTTTTATATTTATTAATTTACGTATGTTGAAACATCCTTGCATCCCTGGGATAAATCCAACTTGGTCAGGGTGTATGATCTTCTTGATGACCCTCTGTATTCCGTTTGCCAGTATCTTACTGAGGATTTCTGCGTCTATGTTCATTAGGGAGATTGGTCTGTAGTTCTCTTTTTTGGTTGGGTCTTTCCCTGGTTTTGGAATCAAAGTAACACCTGTTTCCAGGAATGAATTTGGAAGTACTGCTTTCCTTTCAATTTCATTGAAGAGTTTAAAGAGTAATGGTGATAGTTCTTCTCTAAATGTCTTGTAGAATTCAGCAGTGAAGCCATCAGGACCTGGGCTTTTCTTTGTTGGTAAATTTTTAATTACATTTTCAATTTCACTGCTTGTAATTGGAGAGTTTAGAATTTTTATATCTTCTTCATTTAACTTTGGCAATTTGTATGTATCTAAGAATCTGTCCATTTCTTCTGTGTTTTCCATTTTGTTAGGGTACAGGTTCTTGAAGTAGGTATTGATGATCCCCTGGATTTCTGTTGGATCTGTTGTGACTTCACATTTTCATTCTTAATTGCATGGATTTGAGCCTTTTCTTTCCTTTTTTGGTAAAGTTGATAAGGGTTTATTGATTTTATTTATTCTTTAAAAAAACCAACTCTTAGATTCATTGATTTTTTTTGTATCATTCTCTTAGTCTACATAGCATTGATTTCTGCTCTGATCTTTATAATTTCCTCTCTTGTACGAGTTTTGGGTTTGTCATGCTCTTCTTTTTCTAGAAGCTTGAGGTTCAGCATTAGGTTGTTTATTTGAGCTCTCTCTGTTTTCCTAATATGGGCATTCAGTGCTATAAATTTCCCATGTAGAACTGCTTTCATTGTGTCCTATAGATTTCTGCATGTTGTACTGGTGTTATCATTTACTTGTCAAAACTGTCTAATTTCTTCTTTAATTTCCCCTGTGACCCATTAGTTGTTCAGGAGAGTGTTATTCAATTTCCATGTGTTTGTGGGGGTTTTGTGGTTTCTTATGGTATTGATCTCCAATTTTATTGCACTATGTATGATAATATACAGGTGGTAACTTCAATTCTTTTACATTTGCTTAAACATGCCCTGTGAGTTAGCATGTGGTCTATTTTGGAAAATGACCCGTGTGTAGCCAAAAACAATGTGTATTCTGATTTTGTGGGATGGAACACTCTGTAGACATGTATTAAGTCCATTTGTTCAAAAGCTTGGTTCAGTTCTAGAATTTCATTATTCATTTTTTGTCTAGATTATCTGTCTATTTGTGACAGTGAGATATTGAGGTCCTCCCACTACAATTGTATTAGTGCTTATTTGGTTTTTCATGTCCATTAACATTTGTTTTGTATAGTTGGGGGCATTTGTATTTGGTCCATATATATTTATGATTGCCATCTCTTTCTTCTGGATTGTTCCCTTCACAAGGATGTACTGATCATCTTTGTCTCTCTTAATTAGATATGGTTTGAAATCTATTTTGTCTGCAAATAAGATTGCTACCCCTGCTTTTTTCTGGGTTCCTGTCTCATGGAGAATTGTTTTCCATCCTTTTACTTTCAGTCTATGAATTTCTTTTTGAGTTAGGTGTGCTTCTTGTATACAGCATATTGTTGGATTTTGCCTCTTAATCCATTCTGCCAATCTATTTCTTTTGGTTTGTGAATTGAGGCCATTAACATTGATGGTTGTAATTGATAAATATTGACTCATCCTTGTCATGATGTTTTACTTTTGTTGGCTCTTTTATTTTTTATTTTCCCCCTTTCCCTTTAGTTTCTTGCCTTGCCTGGTGGCTTCCCTCTGTTGGGCCTCATGGAGTTGTGACCTTCAATGTCTTTTTCTAGGATATTGTTTAGAATTGTTTGGAGTGCTGGTTCTGTGTTCATGAAATTTCTCAGGTGTTCTTTGTTGTGGAAGTATCTAAATTCCCCATCAATTTTGAAAGATAATTTTGCAAAATACAACAGTCTGGGTTGGAAATTATTTTCTTTTAGGGCTTGAAATACTTCACTCCAGGCTCTCCTTAACTTGAGGGTTTGTGTTGAGAAGTCTGCTGTGATTCTGATGGGCTTTCCTTTGTAGGTGATTTGTTTCTTTTCTCTAGCTGCTTGTAGGATTTTGTTCTTCTGTTGCATTTCTGGGATCTTGACTATTATATGTCTAGTTGTAGCTATTTTTGATCATGATTAGTTGGAATTCTACATGCCTCACTTATCTGTATGTCCAATCCTCTGCCTCTGTCTGGGAAGTTTTCCACTATTACTTCTGTGAACAGTTTTTTTATGTCGTTTGTACTTTTTCCTGTTTTTTTGTGGAATCCTATCAGTCTTATGTTTTTCTTCTTTGCATCATCTAGCAGCTGCTAGATTGATTTCTCATGGTCCCTTACTATTTTGAAGAAACCTCTGTTTTCATGGTCACTAACTGCAATCCTGTCTTCTGTATCTGATATTCTATCTTCACATTCACTCAATCTGCTGTGAATACTTTCAATGGAGTTTTTAATCTCCTGGATATCTGTTTAAATCTGTTTCATGGATTCCATTTCTTTCCCATTTTGGGAAATCATGGTTTCCATTTCTTCCTTATGCTGGGCATTCATGGCTTCCAGCATGGTTCTGAGCTCATCTATTTTTTTATCTGTTTCTGTTCTAGAGCCTCTAATCATGTCTTTCACTCTGCTCACCATCTCTGTAGTTATCTGGAAAATTATTTCTGTTTTGAATTTTTCTAGAGCCTCATTCATTTGTTTTGTTACTTCTTGTGCTATCAGTTCAGGGTGTCCAGGTGGTTGATTATCACATTTTTCCACTTCATTTCCCCCAGAATTTGCCTTTGGTGAACTGAAAGTCTGTGTTTGTGTCCTGCAAAGGTGTCTTCTCATTTTTAATTCTGTTGTTGGTGCTGGTTTTTGTTTTAATTCCTAGGCTGATACTCCAATATTTCTTATTTTGAGTATCTTTATTACTGGTGTTTAGAGCCCCTATAGAGTGATTGCTTCTCAGAAATATCTTCCATGTAGAGCTGGACATTTTAGGCTTTGAATCCCTAATGACTTTTAGGCAATCTTGTTTTCAGTATACTAGGGAGGACAACTCATTAGATCAATCACAACACCTTAACCCAATTGACACAATCAGCATCAAACACAGCTTAGAAAAATGACAATTTGTGGTAGCAGTTTATCTGTCCCCTTTAACCATGTGAGCTAGATCAAAATCTAGGGCCAGCCCAAAATATGTTTGTAGTAAGTAGACCCTTCAATATGGCAAATTTCTCCTTCAGGATAAGGATTTAGCAGGGGTTGGGGAGAGAGGGGTAGAGAGATAGAGGGAGAGGGAGAGGGAAAAGTTAGAGGTGAGGCTGGAGGATATGGGAAGATCACGCAAATTGTGAGGATCTGTTGAAGACAGGAGGATAAGACAGAGCAAAAGAACAGAGACAAGTACAGAACAAACTGACAACAATAGGGAAGCTTAGAAATTGTATTCACCTTCCTATAAAAGTGACAGTCGAGAGGACAGAGAGAAATTTTTCAGAATGGGACAGGAACAAAGAGGGAGAGAAATATAGAGCCAGAAGGTATAAAGAGAGAGAAAAAGAAAAGAAAAGAAAAAATATATATATATAAATATATATTTATCAAAACAAACAAAAAAAGGCCTCCCTTAGGACATGTCTCTGCCGTCCTGGTAGGTAATGGGGGCAGCAGTATGCAGGTCTAAATCGATTAGTCTCAGCAAGCCAGCTGTAGTCTACTGAGATTCAGGCTGATTTCTGGCTGCAAGGTCCAAATTGAGGTCCCTGACCTCCTGCAGGATTAAACTCTGCAAGGTTCTACTGCAGGTTCCAGCTGGCTCCCTCCCTCCCTATTTGAGTCCAGGTTTCTATGGGAGGTGCTGATCCCACCAACTTACCAACCACGATGGTCCAGTGTCTTTTATTGAAGAGTTTTTCTTCACTTTCCCAGTGGGCTTCAATTTTCATTGGGGAGCATCAGAAAGGCCCTCTCTGTTCATTTCTGCTCTATCTTCTGGGGCTCATAACCATGGCCTTTATGTTCCCCCTGGCACCTCTGCTGTGCGGATTCAGATACTGTGGCTCTTCCACACCGTCTGCTGGCGTCAGCATGACCAGGGGTCTCCCAAAACCATGAATTCTTCCAGCAAAGTTCTTGGAACTCTCTATCTTCAATCTAGCATAACCTGAGAGTTCCAGGTTCTCCAAGGACCAGTTGTTTCTGTTTTCTAAGAAGCTCAATTATTCAGCTCTTCTTGGGTTCTTGTAAGACCTAAATGTATGGGTGAGGATTCAGTTTTCTGATTTCCACATGTAACCTTACTATACATGTCTCTTATTTGTGGATCGAAACAACTCAGATTGGTAAGGCTGAGGTGCTTTACAGGGTAGCTGTGATACCATGGGTAAGAGTGAAGCATTGGGTGTCCTGCTGCCTAAGAGTACCATCTTTTCCTCATCATGTGACTCAAGCAAATTTTTTACTTTTCATGCCTCATTTTCCTCTTCCTTAAAAATAAATCTATCAGGGCAGGGGATTTAGCTCAGTGGTTCCGCCGCCTGCCTCGCACACACAAGAACCCAAGTTTGATCCCCCGTACAAAAAAAAGTCTACCATCAATTTTAAATTAGATACTCCTTAGTCTACATTGTTTTTATTACATTTAACACATAATAAAAATAAATAATAGCTTATTTTAAAACATATAGCTACAGTATCTAAACATTAAATGAAAGCAATATCTTCTTTGCCTTCTTTGTAGTTCGTGAGCAAACTGTGAGATTGTTCAAAGGAACTGGAGATTATCCCTGGGGATTCCGGATTCAGTTCTCCAAACCCATCATGGTAACTGAAGTGGATGCTAGTAAGTGGTTTCACTTGAAATAAAAGCTTTAATTCATACAAGACAGTGATCACAACTCTAGCAAAATACACGAAATAATCTGTATATTATAGTCGTGAAAAACATATGTATGCAGTAGAAGCAACTTGGGTATGGTAGCTTTCAAAAAATCATGATTGAGAACTGTTCATACTTTAATCATTTATTTTTGAGATGCTGCTTTCCTGATGCAAAGTACTTCTCTCATCAACACAGGGCACTGATTTCCCTTCCTGTCAGAGAGCCCTGCCTGTACCTGCAGAAACAGGGCTCAACTGTGGAGAGACAGAGGTTCCTAAGAGTACACAGCTGTCCACTTGCCAGTGTGTTTAATATTTTCTGGAGGAGTTCTATTCCCCATAAATTATTAGCCTTATGGCTTCTCATCTACCTTTATTTCTTAATTAGCGAATCAGGAATTAGTAGATTTTTTGTGAAATTCAGATCTTAAAAACATTTTGGGGAGCCAGGGATTTAGCTCAGTGGTTCCGCCGCCTTCCTCGAAAGCGCAAGGTCTCGAATTCGATCCCCATTACCAAAAACAAACAAACAACAACAACAAAACATTTTTGGTTTCTAACATGAGAATACTCTGGGAAAAGCCAGAGGCAGCAGTCCACTTGGTAGGAGTATCCGATCAAGATGTCCACCCTGAGCATGAGGCAGGAAGGGAGGAGTAATAAAGTCACCACAGAGGGGCTCAGAGCCATTAGGGTGTTTCCGAAGGACACTGTTGTCAGTTATTTGTTTGTCCAACTCCCTGTCTGGCCTGTGGGTTTCTTAGGGTCAGGAATAGTATCTTAGCCGTCATTTACCCTTGATAACTCATGCAGTACTCACGAGGCAACACAGTGGGTTCCCCAGTAATGCTTGTTGAGGGGCTGTGAGAGCCCTGGGAACTCGAGGCTGGCACAGCATGGTGCAGAAAGGAGAGGAGGAACCATCTCGGGAGGATCCCACCTTCCCACTCTGCCCTTCTGCCCTGGTCCCTCTCTGACCTTATCGCCACTAGGGACACAGCTCATCTTTGTCAGCGAGCAGCCAGGCTTCTTTGGTTGGATGCCCTGGGATTCCACTGGGAATCCTCCCTCTTGGCTATAAGGAAGTGGGTGATTACTCAGTTCTGGCCACGGCCACCGGGATGACCAGGCCAGCAGATGAAAGGATTAGCTCCTGGCCACCATTAAGCACCCATTGGTGACAACAGTGGGCAGGAAACTGTTCAGACTACAACCCATTTTTTTTATATTAATGGAATCTTTAAATCAATTGTCAGGCCATGAGAATAAAGAACACAAATACTGAGTACCCAGATGGAATGTGAGGTCTCCCTGGCCCACTAAGGAATTTTAGATTTGTCCTAAAGGAATTTCTTACATTTTATTACTGACCCCATGTGATCAATGCACAGATTTTATGAAATGCACAGATTTAGTCTTCTTGAAGCCTGAGAGGAATTATCTAAGCACTCCATAACATCAATATATATTTCACCTTCATTAGGTTTTAAAGGAAAAAAATTTATTTATTTATAATATCAAGATAGAAAATGGTTTCCTTTAGAACTCACATTCATTGGAGATACCTCTTCTGCACACAGCTTTTTATATATGTTCCTCCTGGTTATCTGTGTAACAGAACTGGAAGCTTGATAATATCACATCCATTTAACAGTAAGTATGTCAAAAATAAAAGTGGTTAAATGACTTGCCTACTATTTTATATCTATAATCATGACAATACCAGTGTTCAGATCTCAGAATCCGTACCATCAAAATCAGAGTTCCTTCACTATGATTTATTTCAGTTAGGGTTCTCTGTTGCAACCAATAGAACATCTGACTGAAAGTGATTTAAGCAACGAAGAGAATCGACTGCACAAACTGAAAGCTACAAGATAGCACAGGTGCTTGATTTCATGGCTCAATCATTTCATCAACAATTTGATTTCTTTCATTCTCTTCCCTGGAGTTGCAAGCTTCCTGGTTGGAACCAAAACAGTTTCATGAGTTCTGGATTTCCTATCATAAATCATAGACTCAAAAAAAAAAAAAAAAGAGGACAGGCTTCCAACCTAAAAATCTTCATGTTGCCATAACCACTGGGGACCACTGTGAGGTGGTTCACTTAGGTCAAATGCAAGGAGAATGAGACTGTTTCAACTTATTTACTACCAGAAAATCAGGGCCCACCGTGGGCTGAAAGCTGTGATAATGTTCCTTTATGATCCAGAAGCTTCCCTAATGGAAAACAGAAGGAGATGACGTTTTAAGACCAGGAGGAACTCTTTAACCTCCCTGACTCAAGCTATCCAGACACAATTGCACTCTGCACCCAATGTCATAAACAAGAATACCACAAACAAATAAAACACCACCTAGCAAACACAAAGGAAGGGCTTTGCCTCTTCTTGATAGAATAGTACTGGACATCTCACTTTTTTAAAAAATCCTATCACACCAAATAATTGCTTTTGAATTTTTGTGATTTGATTCTGACCTAATTGATCCTCAACTGCTAAAACTAGTAAATAGATTAAATATCACATCAATTCCTCTTAGCTGCAAAGTTGAACTAACATTGTCCCTAATATTTAACTCTATAGGGTGAGCAGGATTTAATCAAGTCTTACATAAAATAACTTTTGCTCAATGCTCTCTACTGAACTTACCTTACAGATTCCTTCTTCCCCCTCTGGATTAGTTCTGAGATGAGTCTTTACATTTTGTCTTCTCTTTTAGACAATAAGGACACTGCCCTTTTTGTCACTAATATCCACTCCACCCTAATAATCATAAAACTATAAGCCAGTCTAGTGTAAATATCAAAATTGCAGACGTCTTACCCATCGCAAATTCTCTCTCCTCCCTCATCTAGAGCCTGCTGTAGACTTGTAAGTATGGATTACTTCTGTGACTATTTCCTATTCCCATTCTAAATTTATCAGAAATCTCACCTCTGTATCTTCAAATGCACCTTTTGCCTTTCTTCTGCCTCCTACTGAAAGCTCATCCTTCCTCTTGCATGGTTTGATCCCTTTCACTCTCACCTTCTCGTGACTGACAAAATATCAATAAATTGGTAACAGATAGGAACTTCTTTAAAGTAACAAAGGGAGCGCCTTTTTTTTCAGTTCCTATCACCTGAGAATAAACCGAAAATAAAAGCCCAAGGGGTTGAAGGAAACCTTTGTGCCTGACAAAGTGCAGAGACGGTGAGTAGGCAGAAAAGACTTCAGACCTTAACGCGGGTCTGTCCGGCACCCAAGAGAGGAGAGGAAGTGGGATTGGGTAGGAAGAGTCAGACTTCACTGTGCTGCTGAGAAATTCTGAGACAGAATAATAAGAAGCCCTGAGCAGAGTGTCCATTAAAGGGATCCTGCTTGGTCAGCAGCCCCACCTCCTCGCTGGCTGGGCAGCCCGGGTGAGCATGGCCTCAAGTGAGACGAGATGATTAGCAAGTGAGGCAGTCAAAGCTTCCTGCCAGTCCCAGTCCTCAGGGTCTGTCGTCTGGGCAGTGTCCATATGTATAAGACAGACACAACATGTGTGGGACAGAAAGCCTCAGAGAAAGGGGATTGATGGGAATAATTGTAATAAAGTTGGGAAGATCACCACTTAAAAAATTAGAGATGTAGAAAGAAATCAAAGAAGTGTTACATCAACAGCAGGAAAACCATCTTCATCATCTTTAAATCTTAGCGTTTAAAGATATTCATTCTTTCTTAAATTTGCCTAAAGATGTAATCAAAATCAAAATTCTAGTAGTTGTTTCTATTTTCACTTTTTTCTTAAAGATTTAAATTTTAGATTGTAAAATATTTACAGGAAAGCAGGGGGTCAAGTCACTAAAGTGAAACTTATTTTATGCAGGGAAAAAGTCTCTTATTGTATAATTAGAAATTAAAGTGCATCTGTATGGATATATTCTTACTTTAGTGTAATGAATGTCAATTAAAATTTAACCAGTTAGTCAAATGTATATGTATCTGTTTAGCAAATAATTTCTTTAGTTATTAAGGAAAGGAGAGAGTTTTAATGGGAGGTAGGGGTGGGGAGAGAAAGCTGAAGAGGAACCTTGCCATAGGGCTCAAATGACAAAAGATAAAAATTGCAAATTTTGTCTGGGGTCAACTTTACCTGGCCTCTTAGTGCCCTTCAAATTAATAAGACCACAAAATAGTCGTGTCTGGTGCTGTTTCTGTTTTATAGGTACAAAGACAGGCAACTCTTTAGCATAAATTGGTTTCAGATCTTTTTTTACTATACTTTTAAAAGTATTCCAACATTAACAATATCAAGGTTTATTCCTAGGTAATGTATTAATGGTTGTTTCACACCTTCTCATTCCACTTTCTCCCTACTCCTCCTTCTGTTCATCTCATTTTTCTCTTCTTTCTCATCTTACTGATTTCCCTACATTTATTTCTCCTCTCCTTTGCTTTCTCTCTTTTTGACTTCATGAGACTAGTGTTCAATAGAGAAACAAAGAAATTTATAAGCAGTATAAAAATTATTACCCTTTAAAATTCAAACAGGCTTGACTTCATAAGTTCAGATTTTTACAAAATATCTAAAACCTTTAGATATTTTTACAAAATATATAAAACCTGTCTTTCTAGATAAGTAAATGTAGTTTAATAAAATGTTATGACTTATTTAATTTCTATCTCTGTTCAACTGAGACAGTTAACTCTATCTCATCCATTCAAATGTGAGGCAAATAAAAATGACATTTTATTTAAGATACCCTGAGTTTTTGCAGTAAGAAAAGCTGAGACATCTTCATTGTAGTAGAAATGGTGCAATACATAGTTAACCTAGGATTTTATTCAACATAAGAAAATGCTGCTCCAGCAGGGATTCATGTAGCTGCTGAGTCTCATTTTTTTTTAATGTATTCCTCAATGCTGAAGAGCACTCTCTGAAATCCATTGTCTAGTCAAATCTACTAAATGAGGGGTTGAGGGACTTTAAAATTAC